ACTGTCGCCAATAATCAGAACCTGCGCACACGACGACAAGGAGTAGTGCAACTTCAGTCACGAGAGACAAATGTCATACTGCAAATGTCCAAAGTCCTAATAGCAGAAGGACTTGGCTACAACTTACTGAGCGTCAGTCAGTTGATGGCGAAAGGCATACACCTGGAAGCCGACAATATCACCCAGGAGTTCAAGCTGTACCACGGGAAGGGCGGCCTCTACATCGGAAAGGCGGTCGTGAAGAACAATGTCTTCGTTCTCGATTTCGTCCCAGACCTGGGCACCGCAGACAGTGACGGGATCGTCACCTTCACATCTTGGACGCACCCGCCGGATCTCGACCGCGACTTCAGTCCGGAAGGCTTTTGGTATTCACATACCATTCCTGAAGCAGAACGAACACGTGCGTTAGTAACAATACAACATTCGGCAGCAGCAGAGACAACATCGGCAGCAGCAGAGACAACATCGGCAGCAGCAGAGACAACATCGACAGCAGTAGAGACAACATCGGCAGCAGCAGAGACAACATCGGCAGCAGCAGAGACAACATCGGCAGCAGCAGAGACATCATCGGCAGTAGCAGGAACAACAACAGTAGCAGCAACAACCACACCAGTCCTCGTTGACGAAGCACCACCAACACCCGCACAGCAGCTGAATCCGGCTCAACGGGAAGTCCATAGAAGCGCAAACTTCACCGCCAGCTTCTACTCCAACTCCGACGTGTATCGACGCTCACCCGGACACCGCGCCTCCGAAGACATCTGGCACGCACGCATGGGACACCCAAGCAACACTGTGTTAAACAACACAATAAGAGCAGGAGTCCTTGACAAGGACTCGTTACTACTACTCGACGGCAGAGAACTCCAACGGGCACGAGGAACATGCCTTACGTGCCCCGAAGCCGACTTACCACATCGGCCGTTCGCTCCTCGTCACAACCCGAGTGCACCCGCGTACGCACCACTCGAAAAGGTGTATAGCGATATCCTGTACAATCGGGAACCGGGACAAGTAATCTACAACTACACAATCACCTTCATCGACGCCGCCACCCGTTACGTCTGGCATCTAAACCTACCCAGCCGCGACATGGTCCTCGAAGCATTCGCTGCTTGGCTACCAGTAGCAGAAAAAGAGAGTCGGGCGTAAAGCTGAAAGGCTTCCAGTCTGACAGAGGAGGAGAATACACCTCTCAGCAAATCAAGCAGTACCTGGCGGAAAGGGGAATCAAGCAGCTCATCTCCCTTCCCTACGCGCATCAGCAGTAAGGTGTAGCAGAAAGAATGAACAGGACCTTGCAGAACAGCATGCGCAAACTGTTACGTGGCATGCGGCTACCCAACCACCAGTGGCCTGCAGCAATGGACCACGCCGTCATGCTGCACAACTTGCAGTCGTCATCATCGCTTCCGAACAACGCATCACCGCATCTGTTATGGATAGGGAAACAGGGCAGCACAAAAATGTTACGAGTTTTTGGATGCATAGTACAGTACCCACCCCCACCAGCACGAGCGGGCCGATTTTCACAACTCGAACAGTGGGGACTACACCTCGGCATCGAAAAGAACTACAACGCGTGGAAAATCTTTGACGTCCACTCCAAGGAAACAGTAGCAGCACGCGACGTCATTTTCTACGAACGACTCACGCTCCAGACATACCTTGCCAACCTGCAAGAGGACCAAGATCCCACAGGTGGTTTTCGTGGTGACCAAGCCTTCGCCTCAACAGCGGACGAAGCTGACTGGGACGAGCAAAATGTGACCAACACATCAAAAGAAGTTGGACCCCTTCCGTTCTGCTCCGTCGACGTCCCCATGGACGAAGATAACCCTCGCGAAAGTGTCAACGCCGAAACCTTCTACTACTTCGCCGACAACGGTTACGTAACACCTGCGACAGTCAACACTAACGAAGCAGAACGAGTAGGACCGAATTTCATACCTGATCCAGAAGCGGGAGATGAAGCACCTTATCACGAGGATGCAACTCTTCCCCGCTACTCACAGACTGGATTGCAGATCCTCGGACTCGTCGCCGCAGTCCACGGCAACACTCTTCCTAAGGAGCCTGCGACGGTTCAGCAGGGTCTGGGGGGGGAACACAGGGAAAAATGGCGTGAAGCCATGGACAGAGAGTTAAAGGCGCTGGAGGAACGGAACACCTGGAAAGTTGTCCCCATCAGCGTGGCAAGGAACAAGACCATTCTCACCGGGAAATGGGTCTTCCGCGTTAAAACAAAAGCAGACGGCACAATTGAGAAGTTCAAAGCACGCTGGGTTGTGCGTGGATTCGATCAGGAGCACGGACGGTACTTCACCGAGACATTTGCCCCGGTTAGCCGACATACCTCACTTCGAATCCTCCTCGCGATCGCCGCCATGAAGAAAAGGAAGCTACGGCAAATCGATGTCGCCAACGCGTTCCTCTACGCACCTGTCGACGCGGAAATCTTCGTCGAGCTCCCACACGGTACCAACGGGGAACCTAACCAAGTCTGTCAATTGCTGAAATCACTTTACGGGATCAAGCAAGCTCCGCGGCTATGGCAACAGTACCTACACGTTCGCCTCATTCGCATCGAATTCCGCCAACAACCTCACGACCAAGGAATGTACCGACTCACTAAAGACACCGACTACATTCTGATGATCGTCTACGTAGACGACCTACTCTACATCGGATCCACTGACGACATCACCACCTGGTTCGAAGGGGAGCTACAGAGGGACCTCACACTCACGGTCTCCTCTACCGTCACACAGTACCTCGGCTTAAACATTCGGGAAGAAGAAGGCGCGATCTACCTCAACGCCGCTAAGTACGCCGACACCATCGCCAAACGCTTCGCGCTCACACCTACCACCATCTCTACGCCCTACCGCTACGTGACAGGAAACCACAAGGAAGAATCCTCTCACCTCAAATCCGCCGGGATACGCGACTACCAGAGAAAGCTGGGCTGCCTTCTCTTCGCAGCTGTCACCTGCCGCCCAAATCTATCCTACTCCGCAAGCCAGCTCGCCACCTACCTCAAGAAGCCTGAAGCAGAACACCTGGCGGAGCTCGACCGCGCTCTCCACTACTTCGTCAGTACCTCAACGATCGGCCTAACCTACTACAAGAACACGACCACACCGACTAAATTAATCGGCTACGTCGACGCTGATCACGCTGGCGACTCAGACAATAGGCGCTCCCGCACTGGCTACATCTACCGCCTCGAACCTATCGGACCGATCTCCTGGCAATCGAGTAAGCAGGAATTAATTGCTCTCTCGTCAGCTGAAGCAGAATATATTGCACTCTGCTCAGCCACGAAGGAAGGACTCCATCTTCGTGAGCTGCTGGAAGAAGCGAAGTTAGCCGAGTTACCCAACTTCACTCTGTTCTGCGACAACCAATCTGCAATTCGCATCGCCAACAAAAATGGATTCGCGAACAGAACGAAGCATATCGCTCTGCGATATTTCTTCGTGAGAGACGAGATTGAGAAGGGGAGACTTGAACTATCCTACTGTCCCACGTCCGAGATGGCAGCTGACTACTTGACCAAGAAGCTCGGAAAACAGAAGTTCGAGTACTGCATGCTGCTGACTGGACAAAGCCACGTCACCAGCAGCGACACTCCAGAAGCGAAGGAGAGGGTTGGGAACAAACAATCTTAAGCGCCTCTGTCGTGTCGAAACACCAAGGCACAAGCGAAGCAGAGCATATCGAGGCACCAGCGAGTCAACCCTCGGAGGTTGAAGTAACCGCTGGAGGTTACACGAAAGTCAAAGGTCAGCGACATTTGACTTGACAAATGCAGCGCGATAGCAAGGACACACAACTGACTCGACATTGAGCAGTTGCCCGAGTCGCACTGTATCGAACCGCAACAGCAAAACAGTTGAATTATATCTCTTCGTATTCCCTGTACTCTTATATAAACCTTTGTACTTGCTTGTTTTAATTAAATTACTTTGCCCTCACATACCAGCGCAAGGTGGTTCAAGGACTTCATTTAAACGCTTCCGCTACTACCGACATCACTCTACTCAGAGTTTAACCCTACCAAAGATCCTAAGGGGCACTCAGCCCAACAAGTTCAACACCTGTCCATCTCTTCTTTCTCTGACGGACACAGCCGTTACATACTATCCAACCTTCGGCATGCATGCATCAACTACCGTACTTGCAGCTTAGCCTCCGATTGCCGGTTGGGGGTGGGCGGCTTCCATCCACCATTAGGCTACCACCATTCCTACTGCAAAACAAAGCCAACGCAGAGAGCGAGGAAAAATACTTCCAAGGGCCTACAGCCTAAGCTAGGTTAAAGGTGGCGGCAAAACGCTGCTGAGCCTGCTGTCAGTCAGTTGCCTAGTCGTGCCGTAACTGCAGTATAACCACCTGCCCCTGCTCGACACACAGAACGGCGCAAATTCTGCTAGCACTGTTCCAGAGCAAGGCAAGGCAACCAAGGGTGGGCGGCAGCTGGTGAGAAGGTGCTGGTAACAGTTGCACGAGCATGAGTGGGATTCGCCAAGTGCTGCACAGGGAAAATGGATTGCAGGGCACATGCGCAAATGAGGTGACAGCTGGAAAGGTGCAACCTTCTTCAAATCGATGAAGCAAAAAGTAGGGCAAGGAAAAATAGTGATGATTTGACCTTGCCATGCATATGGCTCAGCTTGGAAGGCGTCCAGGCACGGGAGCCGTATCCACCTTCTGAACGATCTTTCCAGATTAACAGCTGCTCGTGCTTATTCAGCTGCCCTGCCTGCTTTCGACGCCCTTGATGCAAACCTCTGCGCCCTGGACAGTGTTCTTATCTGCTGCCATGGCTCACTCTAAAAGCCTAATCCTAGCCCAGAACTATGCTGCACTGCTTCAGGCAAGCCTCTCTGCACAAGGCACGCCACATCTCCTCAAGTGCGCCCTGTCATTCCAACTCTGGCTGCCTGCCCTAGCTGTACACATGCCACCGCTCAAGTAGCTGATGGGAACTAGACTCCATTCAAAGAGTCCTCACAAGGAGAAATGGCCCCTGCGCCGCACATGAGCACGTTGGCTCCGCAAACGAAGCACGCTATGAACATGTGATACGATGTGTGTGCCCCACGCATCATCATGCTCACCACACTCCAAGCCGCGCACACACACACAAGCACACAACACACACTCACAAACACACACACACACAAGAGAGAAAGAGAGCTTCCATGCATGTCACCATGCAGAGCACACCAGCAACACCTTGCCATGCTAGTGCGGATGTGCGCTCAGGAGCAGGTCGAAGCCAGGCCCAGCTCTCATCCCTTGCTCGTTTGCACAGGCACCTACGTCATTGGGTTAGAGGAGCCGCGGGGAAGGACGTGTGGGCGCGTTGGAGTGTGCAACGGCAGCGTGGCCCCGCACAGTGAAGGCGTGCAGTGCAACACATGCTCACGTGGAGTCGTCTTGGTGCGGCGGCATGGACACCCACCACGACGGCAGCAGCACGTTGTTACCGCCCCTATTGTCCATTGTGCCGCCCTCCCCACCGCCCTGCCGCTCGGCCTGTGGCTCATCCAGCACGCAGTTTCTCAGTCTTCCCCTCTGCTCGCTCAATCGCCTCGCCTGCTGCTGCCGCTGCTCTCTCTCTGCGTCCTCCTGCTGCTGCCACCGCTGATTGCCCTGCGCAAGCTCATCTTCCACGCCAGTCGCCTGCCCCTGCTGCCGTTGCCGCTTCCACCAATGCCCTCCTCCTTCACCCTGCCTGTCCCTCGCCGCATCCAGCGCTATATCTAACGCCTGCTCTCTCCCCGTCTCCGGCTCCTGTCGCATCTCCATCCCTGCCCCTACCCCATGCTCCACCCCCCGCCATCCCCTCGACGTGCCTCCGCCCCACTGCTCCTGCGCGGAGTCCAGCGTGCGCGCGTGCATGTCCGGGAGCCGCGCGCAGGGCACCTCCCTATCGCCGCGCGCCATCACCACGTCCTGCTGCTGGACTTGCTGCGCCCACCCCCCGGCGTGCCTTGCCTCCCCGCCACCCCCGCCAACGCTGCCCTTATCGTGCCACGACGGGAACGCCACCGCATCCCTCGCCTCACCGCACGCCACCACTGCGTTGCTGCCGTTCTCTTGCTCCGCCTCCTCGACCACCATGGCTCCTCTCCCGTCCGCCAGTCGCTCCAGATCATCCACCGCGCGTGCACCGCCGCCCGCCCTCGCCTCCCACTCCACGAACTCCCCCGATCCCTCGTCCAACCTGCCGCTCTCCTCGCAAACGCCGCTTTCCTCGCAAACGCCGCTTTCCACGGCGTCACCGTCGTCCCTACCGCTGGAATTAGCAGCGGCGTCCTCGTCGCCGTCGTGAATCCACCACTCAGGCAGTCCGTGCGCCAACTCATAGCCCGCCGTTGCCCCTCCGAACTGAGCCGATACCCCATCGGCCGCACCTTGCGGATCGTCGTCATCGTCGCCCTGACCGTGCGGCAGCGCCACCCACCATCCGGGCAGCACGGCGCCTCGTCGCCGTCGGGGTGGCGGCGTGGGGCGCATGTCCACGAAAGTGGGGTCGTGCAGCCACCACGAGCTGAATCCGCGACCGCCGGCCTGCTCGCCATCGTGTGCAGCCGCCGCGGGACTAAGATCGGCCTGCATTGCCGTTGCCACCCCGTCATCTTGCCGCAACCCGTGCTCGAGTCGCGGCTCTTGCGCCGCCTGCTGCGCCTGCACCGCCTGCGATTGCGGCTGAAGTTGCCCCCACGGGTCATGGAGACGCGCCAGTGTGACGTCTACGAGATCGACACGGCTATCCGCGGCAGATGCCGCATACTCGCGAGGAACGGCCGCGAGAGACGGCGATAAGGCCGACGGTGACCTCTCTAAACACGCTCGTGATGGAGCCACCTCGGCGTCTTTGTCGTCACACAACTCCGAAAGGCGCTAATGAAAGCGATTAAGTCAACACTGTAGGAAGATTTTGAGGTTAAGTCCACCACCAGGACGATCTAGTGCACTGGACAACTGCATACCTAGAGCGCAGGATGTTGCAGCTAAACAAATCAAGGCATGGAACGCAAGTGGTGTAGGGTTGAGCTGTTGGACAGATGGATGAACCGATGAACTGGGGGGAGAAAGGAGGAAGGAGGGGGGAGCTGAACAAGATGAGCAGTGGAGGGGAGGGCAGGTGAGAGGGCCGAGGCTACGCAGCCGTGCACGTTTGGCCACGTGCCTCGGAAACACTGGGGAGGATCTCGAGGAAGCTCGCGCAAACCCTTTCCAAATCGTGTTCAGGCGGGCATAAGGGCGCGTGTGGTCTTTGAAATTTGTAAAAGTTTATGTTTTTAGGGCGAATTTTAGTTTTGAACTTACAACGAAAGAAGTTAGAATTTCCTTCTATCGAAGTTCGAACATCGGGCTTACCACACTGTAAAAAATCACACACACATACAAGGTCGAACCCCGACATTCGAACTTGTAAAAACGAGCCGAGCCGCACGTCAACATCATAGGTTACCCGGTTCGCTCGTCTTGACAGTGCGCCACGTCAACATTTTGCGCCTCGGTTTACAAGGACCTAGAGCTCCAACTCACCTTCCGCGCCGAGTGTGAAACCAGGGTACAAATAGCCCCCGTGGCAACACCTCGTATACTCGTCATTCGCCCAACATGACAACCCTACAGCTAGTCCGCTTTCTCGGCATCGTATGGCAGGGGTACTTGCAGATGGTGATGCTTCCCGTTCTCAACGCTGTTGGCACGGCACTCCCCACGTTCGTCTCGGCCTTCACTCTCAGGCAGACCCGGGTGTTCGTGCTTGGCGACCGCCTTGACGCACGTGTGCGTTGGTTTCGAATGATAACATCCATGCCCGAGGACAATTTCTATGAGTATTTGCGGGTTGACAAACGCGTTTTCGTTTACTTAGTGCGCCAGTATCAGCGCAGCCGTTTCGCTACACTTAAGCATCCTGTGCATAACTTTGTATTCGTCGCCATGGGACTTAGCAGGCTTGGGCATGGTCTCACATTTCGCGAAATTTGGCTTCACTTCGGCTACTCTTTCTCCCACGCTCACAAGCTGTTTGCGAGGTTCGTTTTTTTCGTCAACGAAGTCCTCCTGCCCAAGTGGGTCGTGTGGCCAGACATGGACATGATGCAATTGTTCGAGACAGAGTTTCGCCTTCAAGCCGGAATACCTGGGGTGGTAGGCGCCATGGACGGGACCTACATACACTACCGTGGCATGGGACCACATTGCGAAGACTTCAGAAATAGGAAAGGTTTCTTTTCTATTATTTGCCAACTAATCTGCGACAGCATGGGTCTCATCTGGGACTTTTTTGTAGGCTACCCCGGAAGCGTCAACGACGCTCGGGTTTTCATGAACAGCCCTGCAAGAACTAAAATTGAAGGAGGGATATTGGACTACACGCTAGTAGCGGACGCTGCCTATGGTTTGAGACCCTACATCTACACACCCTACCGTGCCCTTCCCGGTCGCGCACTTCCCGACGAGCAGGGAGTCTGGAACCTCCAGCAGTCCCGCATTTGAATTATCGTGGAGCAGGTGAACGGGAGGTTGAAGACCAAATGGCGCATCCTGGACGGGCGCCTCGAGTGCGACGTCTTCCGCGCCCCGCAGGTCCTCTCCGCCTGCATCGTGCTTCACAACATCGACCTCATCCTCGGCTTTCGTCACCGCCTGAACGAGCCTCGTGAGCGCAACACTTGGTGGCTGGAAGGACCCGTTGCGGAGGCCCCGCAGTTCTCGCCGCGCGATGCGGGCTTTTCTCCGACTCGTCGTCGATCTCGCCTGGCGGCGTACTTCTACGCTTCCTGGAGGCTCGGGCATCCTGAGCTCTCTCAACCATCTCTTGGGTACGTTCTAAAAACTCATCAAATTGGTCCTGCATAGCCCCTTTTACCGATTGCGCAATTATCCCCGCTATTTCAGCACACAGCACTGAATCACTTGAGTTCATGTGGTTACCAACACCACCTCCCATTCTGTCGTTGCCCGAATGTTCCTCTTCGGCAGCCGCAGGCCCAGGCCGGCGGGAGACACCGCGGCCACGGAGCGCAACACCCGCGTTCGCGCCGACGACGGGTGAACGGGATGGAGATGCAGTGGCGGTGGCAGCGGCGGGGGACACGTCCGGTGCAAGTGCAGACGTAGACGGAGACGAAAACGGCTGGCGCGAAGGGGAGTGACCAGGCGAAGCCGTCACTTGGCGGGGATTGGGTGAGCGACGAGCCGACTGCGCTCGGCTTGCTGATGCCGCTACGCCATCGGGCCCTGCAGACACCGCTGATGCGGTGGTAGGAGACTCCACATCTGCCGGTGATGGGCGTCGCATAGGGGGGTGTTGGGTGGTTTCATTATTACATGCCACCTTGATGAATGGTTGTATTAGTATCATCAATCTTAAATTATGAGCAGTTAAAAATAAGGATCACATCAAACAACAATCAACACTTACTAGGAATGGTACGAGCCGGGGGAGGAGGCGCGATAGTACTTGCGGGAAGCAAAGGGCCCCGCGAGCGCCGGGGGACGCGCATTCGCCTGATCCCCTAGGAACCTGTCGAAAATGTCATAGAAAATAGGCATTTGGGGGGCTTCCCCTTCCCGGAAGGTTTGAGCAATAAATCCGACACCTTCCGCCAGTGAGCCTCCATACGGAAAACCTTGGCTTTCGTGGCTGCGAGACCATGGCGCCATCCGGGGTGACGAAGACGGACTTGCTCGTAGAGCATGACGTCCCAGTTCTGGCCTTGCAGGCGGCACAAATTCCGATATTGCTCGTCGAAGTCGTGGCGGATCCACGCCAGCTGCATGACTTCCGCCGGCTCCCACCCTTTTTTGTCGCTAGGGCGTCGCTGCATCGGCGTCGTCGTCAGTGCCGTCTTCGCCATCGCAGTCGATTTCGCCTGCGTCGAAGTACGCGAGGGTGTCGTCGTCTGCACCTAGAGGAGTGTTCGGGTTTGGCACACGCGCCACGATATCGTCCAGGTCGATAACTTCAAGGCGCCTGGAAGCGGCCGGATCAACGGCAGCACGCCGACGCCGCTGAGGTGCGGGTGCGCGGACTGGTGCAGCGACAGTGTCAGAATGAGGAATGGATGTTGCATTGATGTTGGTTGGGGTACATATGACAAACCCTAACTTCTGTACCCCCTAAGACAAACCTCACTACAGGCTACAACATTTGACACACCCCCATAGCCTAAGTGAGGGGTGTCTAGCAAAAAAAAAAAAAAAAAAAGAGTACGGTCACAAGACCAGTCCAAAAGAAAATAAAGCTCAGGGTGGATCACAACGTCACCACACACTCTGAGCACAAGCAACAGTGGCCACAAGGCCAGTCCAAGAGATCACAAGTATATATAGTAAGTGTACAGACGAAGCAGGCAATAAACTCAAGTCTACGCATGACTAGAACCTGTGTCAACAAGGCCTAACTGCACACAACACCTCTGGTGGTCACAAGGCGGAAGCGCCTTGGTGAAGATGTCTGCAGTGTTGGCCTCGGACTCTACAAACTCGAAGCGAGCCTGTCCACGCCTCTGCAACTCTCGCAGAAGAAAGTACCTGACGTGAATGTGCTTCACTCTGCTCTCCAGTCGCGGCTCACGACAGAGGAGGATCGGCGCCTTGTTGTCAGTAAACAAGGTCGGTGCAGAGCTCGGCCGCTCACCAAGGTCGGTGAGCAAGAAGGTCAACCACCGCAACTCCTGTGCCGCCATGGCACCAGCGTAAATCTCAGCCTCAGCTGTAGAGGTCGAGACAGAAGAGGAGCGCGTGGAACGCCAGGAAACAGCTCCAGAACCCAGACTGAAACAGTACCCCTGAGTAGACCTGTGAGTCTCAGCGTCGTCAGCGTAAGAGGAGTCACAGTGACCAGTGAGTACGACAGACTGCTGCCCTCCAAGAACTAGCCCCACGCCTGATGTAGTCGCTAGGTACTTCGCCACCCTCACAGCTGCCGTCCAGTGAACAGGACGGTGTCTCCCTGGCGCAACAAAGCGCGCAAGGATGCTGAGAGGGAAGGCGAGGTCCGGGCGAGTACAAGTCATCAGGTACATGAGGCAACCCACAAGCTCTGCGTAGGGACCACTAGGCTCAAACGGCTCGTCAGGAAAGGGACCAGTGAGTCTGTGGTCAACAGCTAGAGGTGTGCGCTGTACGGTGGAGTGCTGAAGCCCGAACCGCTGAAGGACCTGCTGCACCATGTGTGACTGTGAGAGTGTAATGGTGCGAGCGGCTCTGTCCCTGGTGATCTGCAGGCCAAGGTAGTGGCGCAGCTCACCAAGATCAGTGCACGTGTGTCTCTTCTGCAGTTCGGACTTCACGTCTGCCAAAGCAACCCTGTCCGGAGTGGCGAAAACGAGGTCGTCGACGTAGACCAGGACAAAGAACGGTGTGGAGCCACGACGAACGAACATCGACGGGTCGGCAGAAGACGGCTGGAACCCAAGGTCAGAGAGGGTAGAACGCAGAGTGTCGTGCCACTCACGAGGGGCCTGGCGAAGACCGTAAACAGGTCGCCTCAGCCTCCACTGGGTCCCAGGAGGGAAAGTGCCAGTGAAGGCCGAGGGACGACGTAACCAGACCTCCTCGTGTAGGCTGCCCTGAAGGAAAGCAGTGGAGAAGTC